TGCGGCTGGTGAGGACAAAGTAAAATACTCAATGCTCAAACATCTGCCTAGAAATGCCAAAAGGATACTACTAAACTTCTTCAACACATCCTGGCTGGCAGGAGAGGTACCTAAAGAATGGCGGAAAGCCAACGTCATCCCTCTTCCAAAACCAGGTAAAGAGAAAACAAAGGCAGAGTCCTATCGACCAGTAAGTTTGACATCCACACTGTGCAAAACCTTGGAAACAATGGTTAACATACGACTACAGTTCTATCTGGAAAGCAACCGACTGATCGACGAAAATCAAAGCGGGTTCAGGAAAGGGCGTTCAACAATGGACCACTTGGTAAGACTGCAGCAAGTCATGTCGCAGGCACTCCTCTCTGGGAACCTGTTATGTGTCGTGTTCGTAGATTTAACTAAGGCTTTCGATTTAGTCTGGCTAGACGGGCTGCTATTCAAGTTAGGACGTATTGGTATAACGGGCATAATGTTTCGGTGGATCAAAAGCTTTCTGAGCGATAGAAGGATACAGGTGAATGTTGGCAGATTCCTGAGTGCCGAGCAAACATTAGAAAATGGCACGCCTCAGGGGTCGGTTATCAGTCCCACTCTCTTCAATATCATGATCAACGACATACAGAAATCTTCCTACCTCGACGCCAAAACTGAGTTAGCTAAATTTGCTGATGACAGTACCATATGGAGGAAAGGGAGGAACTTCTGTGAACTACAAAAGAACATGCAGAAGGCCTTAGATAAATTCATGGCATGGGCAAACGATTTGGATTCAAGGTCTCGGAGAAGAAAACAGTCGGCATGCTTGTAAGCAGGGATAGAGGGATAAGCAGAATGACTCTGTCTATGAACGGGAAAACCATCGAGTTTAAAGACCAAACCAAGTTCCTTGGCGTAATCTTAGACCGAAGGCTGACCTGGAAACCGCACATCGACGAGACTGTAGATAGATGCACCAAAATCCTAAACTTAATGAGAAAAATAACGGGCAGTACTTGGGGGTCCAACAGAGTAACACTAATGATGGTGTATCGTGCTCTAATACGATCTGTATTAGACTACGGCTCTCTGGCCTTCATGAACTGCGCGCCATTACTCTTAAGGAAGCTTGACACCATCCAATACAAAGCTCTGTGTATTGCGACTGGCGTAGGGCAAGGGACTGGGAGAGAGAGAGGCACTACTGCAGGAAGTCGGGGAGTTGCCCCTATCCCTGAGAAGAAAAGAACTAGCGACAAGGTACTGGGCTAAGATCTCGCAACTGGGCGAAAGATCCCCAACCTTTGTCAGTCTACAAAAAACAAGATATGTGAGAGATCCTAGAAAGAAAAGCTTCGGCCAGGGTATCAGGGAAACAATCAAGGAACTGCGACTGGGGGAGCTCGTGATAAATGAACACGACCCCCCAGCGATCGCCCCTTGGACGCTCCCTATACCGCCGGTTAATCTAGATCTACTACAGAAAACCGACAAGAAAAACAACCCCACTGCAGCACGTGCTTTTTCTCTAGAACACCTGGAAGACAACTGGCCGTCTGATGACTGGGAACATGTGTACACGGATGGCTCACGCAATCCTGAAAGGGGCACCAGCTCGTTTGGAATATACCTGCCAAACGGGGAACAGGGAATAAGCAGGAAACTGCCCAATAACTGTTCGGTGTACACTGCAGAACTTGTGGCCATTCGTGACGCTATATCATGGATTTCCCATCAAAAGACTAGTAAGTTCGTCATTCCAAGCGACTCTCTGAGCAGTCTGATTTCAATCCAAAATGACAACTCGGACTCAAGACCAGAAGTCATTTTGGAAATCAGGCAGCTGTACCAGAGGGTTTTAGAGAAGGGAAGCAAATTAGAACTCGTGTGGATTCCATCACATGTCAACATTAGAGGAAACGAGCAGGCAGATCGACTAGCCAATGAAGGTCTCAAGGACACAGCACCACTCCGCACCATAGACTACAGCACCACGGAAATCTACAGTATGGTCAAAAGACAGGTCAATTCAATCTGGGAATTAAATCTCGTTGAACTTGACACATACAGATTCCGGCTGGATGACAAGATCTATACAAAGACAACACTCAATCACCCTAGAAGAGATATATGTAGACTTATATCAAAGCTAAGGGTGAAAGAGCGGCTGCGAGACTACAAACACCAAGTCATCTTCTGTGAATGCGGAGAAGAATGTACCACCAACCATGTCCTGGTAGACTGCGAGGTATACAAGGAGGAGAGAATGGACCTAGTGAGAACAATGGAGACTAACAACATACCATTCAACACTAAGAATCTACTCTTCCCGCGACCAGATTTGAAACTGCAAATCTTCGAACAAATCCACGCCCTAATGGACACAGTTGGACTAAGTAGAATAGTGAAGTAAGAGGGGGTCACGGCTAGACGGGCTCGGCATCTAAACACTAAACTACATAGGGGATTTATACCACACTGGCAGGATAGTGGAGTAAGGGGGAGTCACGACCAGACGGACTCGGCATCTAAACACTATTCCGCCAAAAACAGACACCAAACCTACAGAGTGGGATAGTGGAGTAAGGGGAGGTCACGATAAGACGGGCCTGGCACCTAAACACAAACCCCTCAAAGATGACATCTACCAAACTAGCAGGATAGTGGAGTAAGGGGGAGTTACGATCAGACGAACTCGGCACCTAAACACTATTCTGCAAATAAAAACTAACACCAAGCCCAAAGAGTGGGATCGTGGAGTAAGGGGAGGCCACGACAAGACGGGCCTGGCACCTAAACACTAACCCCAAACGATGACATCTACCAATCCAGAAGCAGACGAAATCATCCATCAAACGATATGTTTTATATTAAATAAAGGGAAGAACTTCCCACTAAACCAAATCCATGGCCTAATGCCAAATGGAAAGATTGCAAAATCATATTCTAAAAACAGGAATCAGCTAAATTCGGCTCTCCTATGTCTTGTCTGCGATATCACTTATGTGGAAGCAGACGTTAAACACCAAGAACTACTACTACTACTTTTCGCTACTCATTTGTCTGTTTAAGTTAAACGACGAACGATCATCATTCAACATGTCTGGACGAGGAAAGGGAGGAAAAGTAAAGGGAAAGAGTAAGACCCGATCATCCCGGGCTGGATTACAGTTCCCCGTCGGTCGTATCCATCGACTTCTCCGAAAGGGAAACTATGCCGAGAGAGTTGGAGCCGGAGCCCCAGTTTACTTGGCTGCAGTCCTTGAGTACCTAGCTGCCGAAGTTCTCGAGTTGGCTGGCAACGCCGCCCGTGACAACAAGAAATCCAGAATCATTCCCCGTCATCTCCAGTTGGCCATCCGAAACGACGAGGAATTGAACAAGCTGTTGTCCGGAGTAACTATCGCCCAAGGTGGTGTTCTACCCAACATCCAAGCTGTGCTCCTGCCCAAGAAATCCGAGAAGGCTACTTCAAAATAAAAAGCAGCTTTTTGTTGATAAAAAAAAAAACGGCCCTTTTCAGGGCCACCTAAATATATCAGAGAGAAAACGAACATATTCTAATATTCGCAAAATTACGTACATGTAGATGTGCGCAGCCCCAAGCCTGAAACTCGACACAAAACATCAACTTACCTTACCCCCACCCCTTACCTTAATTATTACTATCACTACCCTTATTATCTGCAGCCGGCGTAATCCAATCCAATTCAATTCAACACGAAATAAAATAAAAGGAAAGGAAAGGAAAAGAAAACAAAACAAATTACGAATCCAATCAAATGAAACCATAAGATTATATGAGATGCCACGCCACGCCATAACATAATGACATAGGCGCATTCATTCATTCATTCATTCATTCATACGTACGTACGTACGTACGTGCGTGCGGTCATTATTCGTTCGTTCGTTCGTTCGTTCGTTCGTTCGTTCGTTCGTTCGTTCGTTCATTCATTCATTCATTCATTCATTCATTCATTTATTTATTTATTTATTCATTCATTCATTCATTCATTCATTCATTCACCGAAAAAGAAGAAACGAATGAATGAAGGAGTGAGTGAGTGAGTGAGTGAGTGAGTGAGTGAATGAATGAAGGAGTGAATGAATGAATAAATGAATGAATGAATGAAAAAGTAGGGAAGAAAGATTGACATTACAGGACATATATGTGATGTGTGGTGGAACGCAGAAAATTGAAGCTGGCGTGAACGAGAAAACACAGTCTCTCTCACAGGTCCGCGCTTAACTCCTATAATAACCGAAATTCAGTGTAGGGTGATCATACTTGCTGTTTTCTTTGAACGAGCAACATCGAATCAACTCTTGCAAAATGTCTGGACGAGGAAAGGGAGGAAAAGGTTTGGGAAAAGGAGGAGCCAAACGTCACAGGAAAGTCCTTCGTGATAACATCCAGGGTATCACTAAACCAGCCATCAGACGTTTGGCCCGACGAGGTGGTGTAAAACGTATTTCTGGTTTGATCTACGAAGAAACCCGTGGTGTCCTTAAAGTATTTTTGGAAAACGTCATCCGAGATGCTGTCACATACACCGAGCATGCCAAGCGAAAGACCGTCACAGCCATGGATGTCGTCTACGCTTTGAAGAGACAAGGCCGAACTCTGTACGGTTTCGGAGGTTAGATCTGACAACGCTCACAAAGCATATCAAACGGCCCTTTTCAGGGCCACCTAAATTATTCAGAAAGAAAACCTTCATATTCTAATTAATTAGTAAAACCCAAACAAAACAAAAATTAAAAACAAAAAACCCCAAAACCCGACCCCCTTCAGAAAATAGCACAAACAAGAGGTGCGGTAGTTTAGGGCGACCCATAAGACCCGTGCCGTACCCGATTTAATGCTTCAAGTAGTTCTTTACACACATAATACTCGCGCACAACCCGACACATTTCAGCTGACAGCCTCCATGTTCAAGGTGCCAATGTCCACTCCGGAGAACTATGTACTCTACTTCGGCGATATATATCTGCCCCCTATTCAACAATTGGTTGGTATACTGTTTTGTGGTGCGACCCGACTCCAATTCCCACCTGTTACAAGCATAAGGACTAATTTTAATACACAAGAACAGAATTTAGCGCTTTCGGCTAAAAGCGTCCATTTAGGACTTAAAATATCTGGAAACTCTTATAGAGTAGTATTCAGCATGCGTGCTCGCCCGACAGATGATGATGGGTTAGTTGTATTTTACGTCCGCTTCCACCGAGGTGATATCGCAGACAATGACGTGTTATGTGTACAAGGTGCATTAATTTACAATGTGATTAGTGAGAAATAATAGGATGATTAGGTTTTCATATATATGTACATAGGACAATAAACACGACAGGTCAGGGGATAGGCTTTATGTGTGAATTGATCACTTACTATGCGACAAATGGTTACATTTTTTCGATTAGAATATGGAAAGGCATTCTTTCGTGGAAATTTGGGGTGGCCCTGAAAAGGGCCGTTTTACAGTCGTGCAATAAAGCTCGGGGAAAGACATTTAGGCCTTTTTAGGTTTGGCGGCAGCTTTCTTCTTGGGGGCTGCCTTTTTGGCTGGCTTTGCGGTTTTAACCTTTTTAGGGGTTTTCACCTTTTTGGGTGACTTGGCCTTCTTTGGTTTTACTGTCTTCTTGGCTCCGGCGGCTTTAGCCTTTTTCGGTGTAGCGGCTTTCTTGGGTGCTGCTTTCTTTGCCTTGGGTTTCTTGGCGGTGGCCGTTTTCTTAGCAGGAGACTTTTTAGCGGCTTTCTTCACTTTGGGTTTTTCGGCCTTTACGTCACCAAGTTTGAAGGAACCGGCTGCTCCCGTGCCCTTGGCCTGCTTAATAACTCCGGACTTGACACCGTTTTTCAGGGCGGTTTTTACCCGGGAGTTAGCCATGTTCGAATCGGATCCGACCTTGTAGTTAGCCATGACGTATTTCAAGATAGCTTGTCGTGATGAACCACTCCTTTCCTTCAAACTGCCAATGGCAGCGCGGATCATGTCAACGTATTTCGGGTGTGTGGCGGCTGCCTTGGGCTTGGATGCCATCTTCTTTTTTGGTGATTTTGTCGCGGGTGCTTGAGCTGCTACATCTGCCATTTTCACTAGAATAAGGTCTGTGTTTGCGTAGGATGCAAAAACGTCGTACTTCTTCCGCTGTCAACTAGGGAATGAGCCGCGATGGTTCGTGAAAAAACATACCAGGCGGGCGCGGACTTCGTAGAGAGCACTTATTCGCCCCGGACGCAAATCACCACAACTATGTGTTTATTGCTTCGCATTTTCTCCCAAATTCAAACTTAGTTTTAGATGGGAGAAAAATTGGACTACGCCATTCGAAAGAGAAGAAATCGGGCTTTACACTCATACAAATATTGTGTACTCCCAGTGTATACTTAGTCTGAGAACCAGGCTTGAAAGGCGCACATTGAGTCTCTCAAATACAAACCCGTCCTTTTACACTCACTTTTACCCTCGAATTTTAGCTTTGATTTCGTGCAGGGGGCGAGAGCCGACTAGAAGAAACATCAGACTTGCAGTTCAGCCCATTTTCTTTCAAATTGATACGGCACGAAGGGCTGTGGCAGGATTCCCACGCGGACACTAAAAACACGTTCACTCAATGAACCGCCATTACGGACGGGCTTTATTGCTTCATGCCATCGACAAGTGAAATTCATTCATCCATCTGTTATTCTATTCTGCAGATGTATTCCCTGTGTGTGCGTGCGTAATTTCTTTCCATGATTTCATTTCATTTCATTTGATAGGGGGGAGGGGGGAGTGTAATGTAATGTAATGTAATGTTTTGCTTTGCTTTGCTTTGCTTTGCTTTGCTTTGCTTTGCTTTGCTTTGCTTTTATTATAGAACATGGAAACGTTTCTTTCTGAACGAGTTAGGTGGCCCTGAAAAGGGCCGTTTTAATAACACAAAGCCAAGTAATTTAGGCTCGTTCTCCTCGGATTCTTCGGGCGAGCTGGATGTCCTTGGGCATAATGGTGACTCGCTTGGCGTGGATGGCGCACAAGTTGGTGTCTTCGAAAAGTCCAACCAGGTAAGCCTCGCTGGCTTCTTGCAGGGCCATGACGGCGGAGCTCTGGAACCGGAGATCGGTCTTGAAATCCTGGGCGATTTCACGGACTAATCGCTGGAAGGGGAGCTTTCGGATGAGAAGCTCGGTGCTCTTCTGGTATCGACGGATTTCTCGGAGAGCCACGGTACCTGGCCTGTATCGATGGGGTTTTTTCACACCGCCGGTGGCGGGGGCACTCTTTCTAGCGGCCTTGGTGGCGAGCTGTTTTCGTGGGGCTTTGCCTCCAGTCGATTTACGGGCAGTCTGCTTGGTTCGAGCCATCTTTACTTTAGTCTTCTCTTCTTCTTGTCGAGTCCGAGTAGAAATGAAACACCAAACACCTCTCCTTCTACTATAAATACACACACAAATTCACAAAGCTCGCAAAGCGCGGCACGCAACGCCATTGGTCGCCTCAGCCAGAATCCGGCCCTCCCATTGGTTCAAAATGAAACGCTTTCATTGGTTGAATTCCAACACTGTTTCCCAACTCCATTTCTCGATCCGATTTTAGAATGCATGTCCCAAACTGCATTTCTGGTTCTTGTCTACCCTTCTTCTTTTTCCCCTTTCCTCTCCTTTCTACTCTTTTTCTTTTCCCCCCGTTTCCTTTTATCGCTTGTTCGTTTCTTTTTTTTGTTTTTGTTTTGTGTTCGTTCGCTCGCTCGCTCGCTCATGCTTTTTCGGGAGCTTCCGTGTTTTCATAAGACAAGACTGGGCATCGAGACTTGCCTCAACTTAATTGCTAAGAAAACATGCTATGAAAACATGCACGAGGAGCTTGTGCCTATATAATCATATGAATTGATCTGTCGTCATTCACCCTTGTCACCTCACCTCACGCCCGTACCCCTTGTCTTACGCGTCTATCAGCCAGGGATAGACGAGTAGACCCAAGTCGTAATCAGTGCTATATTGAGAAGTGTCATTTTTCAGGTAAACTGTTTGTCATATTGTGCGAGATCGTTCTTTGTATGTTTATGTATTTGTTTTCTGGGTTTTTTTTTTGTCTATTTATATATTTGTTTGTTTTCTTTTTGTCTGTCTATTTATATATTTGATATATGTACTTTGATGTAATTTTTCTTTTCCAATTATCGCTTTAGGGTTAGGCTTAGGGTTGGGGTTGGATCGCATTGAACTGAATGGAACGGGGTGGGTGTGGCATTTGATTCGTATAGAACATGAAGGTTTTCTTTCTGAATGATTTCGGTGGCCCTGAAAAGGGCCGTTTTTGTTTCGGTTTCGGGTGGGAAACATTTATTTGCTGCTGGTATATTTGGTGACAGCCTTGGTACCTTCGCTGACGGCGTGCTTAGCCAATTCACCGGGCAACAAAAGTCTGACGGCAGTCTGGATCTCCCTGCTTGTGATGGTTGATCTTTTGTTGTAATGGGCCAGTCTTGAGGCTTCGGCAGCGATTCTTTCGAAGATGTCGTTGACGAAACTGTTCATGATGGACATCGCCTTGCTGCTCACACCGGTGTCGGGGTGGACTTGTTTCAAGACTTTGTAAATGTAGATGCTGTACGATTCCTTTCGTCTCCTCTTCCTTTTCTTGTCCCCGGAGCGTGCGGCTTTCGCCTTTCCGGCTTTCTTGGCGCCTTTCGATGAGACCTTTGGTGGCATGACTGCTGTAACAAGTTAGAACAGTGAATGTTGGCCCGAAGTAGTAGTAGTAGTAGTTCTTGGTGTTTAACGTCTGCTTCCACATAAGTGATATCGCAGACAAGACATAGGAGAGCCGAATTTAGCTGATTCCTGTTTTTAGAATATGATTTTGCAATCTTTCCATTTGGCATTAGGCCATGGATTTGGTTTAGTGGGAAGTTCTTCCCTTTATTTAATATAAAACATATCGTTTGATGGATGATTTCGTCTGCTTCTGGATTGGTAGATGTCATCGTTTGGGGTTAGTGTTTAGGTGCCAGGCCCGTCTTGTCGTGGCCTCCCCTTACTCCACGATCCCACTCTTTGGGCTTGGTGTTAGTTTTTATTTGCAGAATAGTGTTTAGGTGCCGAGTTCGTCTGATCGTAACTCCCCCTTACTCCACTATCCTGCTAGTTTGGTAGATGTCATCTTTGAGGGGTTTGTGTTTAGGTGCCAGGCCCGTCTTATCGTGACCTCCCCTTACTCCACTATCCCACTCTGTAGGTTTGGTGTCTGTTTTTGGCGGAATAGTGTTTAGATGCCGAGTCCGTCTGGTCGTGACTCCCCCTTACTCCACTATCCTGCCAGTGTGGTATAAATCCCCTATGTAGTTTAGTGTTTAGATGCCGAGCCCGTCTAGCCGTGACCCCCTCTTACTTCACTATTCTACTTAGTCCAACTGTGTCCATTAGGGCGTGGATTTGTTCGAAGATTTGCAGTTTCAAATCTGGTCGCGGGAAGAGTAGATTCTTAGTGTTGAATGGTATGTTGTTAGTCTCCATTGTTCTCACTAGGTCCATTCTCTCCTCCTTGTATACCTCGCAGTCTACCAGGACATGGTTGGTGGTACATTCTTCTCCGCATTCACAGATGATGACTTGGTGTTTGTAGTCTCGCAGCCGCTCTTTCACCCTTAGCTTCGATATAAGTCTACATATATCTCTTCTAGGGTGATTGAGTGTTGTCTTTGTATAGATCTTGTCATCCAGCCGGAATCTGTATGTGTCAAGTTCAACGAGATTTAATTCCCAGATTGAATTGACCTGTCTTTTGACCATACTGTAGATTTCCGTGGTGCTGTAGTCTATGGTGCGGAGTGGTGCTGTGTCCTTGAGACCTTCATTGGCTAGTCGATCTGCCTGCTCGTTTCCTCTAATGTTGACATGTGATGGAATCCACACGAGTTCTAATTTGCTTCCCTTCTCTAAAACCCTCTGGTACAGCTGCCTGATTTCCAAAATGACTTCTGGTCTTGAGTCCGAGTTGTCATTTTGGATTGAAATCAGACTGCTCAGAGAGTCGCTTGGAATGACGAACTTACTAGTCTTTTGATGGGAAATCCATGATATAGCGTCACGAATGGCCACAAGTTCTGCAGTGTACACCGAACAGTTATTGGGCAGTTTCCTGCTTATTCCCTGTTCCCCGTTTGGCAGGTATATTCCAAACGAGCTGGTGCCCCTTTCAGGATTGCGTGAGCCATCCGTGTACACATGTTCCCAGTCATCAGACGGCCAGTTGTCTTCCAGGTGTTCTAGAGAAAAAGCACGTGCTGCAGTGGGGTTGTTTTTCTTGTCGGTTTTCTGTAGTAGATCTAGATTAACCGGCGGTATAGGGAGCGTCCAAGGGGCGATCGCTGGGGGGTCGTGTTCATTTATCACGAGCTCCCCCAGTCGCAGTTCCTTGATTGTTTCCCTGATACCCTGGCCGAAGCTTTTCTTTCTAGGATCTCTCACATATCTTGTTTTTTGTAGACTGACAAAGGTTGGGGATCTTTCGCCCAGTTGCGAGATCTTAGCCCAGTACCTTGTCGCTAGTTCTTTTCTTCTTAGGGATAGGGGCAACTCCCCGACTTCCTGCAGTAGTGCCTCTCTCCCAGTCCCTTGCCCTACGCCAGTCGCAATACACAGAGCTTTGTATTGGATGGTGTCAAGCTTCCTTAAGAGTAATGGCGCGCAGTTCATGAAGGCCAGAGAGCCGTAGTCTAATACAGATCGTATTAGAGCACGATACACCATCATTAGTGTTACTCTGTTGGACCCCCAAGTACTGCCCGTTATTTTTCTCATTAAGTTTAGGATTTTGGTGCATCTATCTACAGTCTCGTCGATGTGCGGTTTCCAGGTCAGCCTTCGGTCTAAGATTACGCCAAGGAACTTGGTTTGGTCTTTAAACTCGATGGTTTTCCCGTTCATAGACAGAGTCATTCTGCTTATCCCTCTATCCCTGCTTACAAGCATGCCGACTGTTTTCTTCTCCGAGACCTTGAATCCCCAATCGTTTGCCCATGCCATGAATTTATCTAAGGCCTTCTGCATGTTCTTTTGTAGTTCACAGAAGTTCCTCCCTTTCCTCCATATGGTACTGTCATCAGCAAATTTAGCTAACTCAGTTTTGGCGTCGAGGTAGGAAGATTTCTGTATGTCGTTGATCATGATATTGAAGAGAGTGGGACTGATAACCGACCCCTGAGGCGTGCCATTTTCTAATGTTTGCTCGGCACTCAGGAATCTGCCAACATTCACCTGTATCCTTCTATCGCTCAGAAAGCTTTTGATCCACCGAAACATTATGCCCGTTATACCAATACGTCCTAACTTGAATAGCAGCCCGTCTAGCCAGACTAAATCGAAAGCCTTAGTTAAATCTACGAACACGACACATAACAGGTTCCCAGAGAGGAGTGCCTGCGACATGACTTGCTGCAGTCTTACCAAGTGGTC